ATCAGTAACGTAACCTTCCATCTTACAAAAATGGACAAAGAGCAGACTAAACCTAAAACAAGCTGAAGGAAGGAAATAATACAAATTCGAATGAAGAATTGAAAGCAAAGACTCAAAGAGGTATTTGCACACCCGTGTTCAGAGCAGCATTATTCACAATAGGTGAAAGATGGAAGCAGTCCAGGATGGAAAAATAGATAAACAAAATGTGGTCTACACACACACACACACACACAAATACTATTCGTCCTTAAAAAGAAAGGAATTTTGAAACTTGCTACAACATGAATGAACCTTGAGGACATTATGCTAAGTGAAATAAGCCAATCGCAAAAGGACAAATAGTGTGCGATTCTGCTTATGTGAGTACCTAGAATGGTCAAAATCATAGAAATAGAAGGTAGAATAGTAGTTGCCAGAGGGGAGGGGAGGGAAAAAAGTGGGAAAGATTACTGCCTAATGGGTACAGAGCTTGATAAAATAAAGAGAGTTCCATTGATGGATGGCTGCAATGGTTACCCAACAGTGTGGGGGTTCAGGTGCCAACCCCCAAAGCAGTCAAAAATATGTGTATAACTCTTGACTTGCCCCAAACTTAACTACTAATAGCCTTACCAATAACATAAATAGTCAACCTATATTTTGTATGTTACCTGCATTCTCTACTGTATATAATAAAGTTTGCTAGAGAAAAGAAAATGTCATTAAGAAAATCATAAGGAATTAAAAATACGCTTGTTGTACTGCAGGGTTTTTACTAAAAAAAAAAAAAAAAAAAATCGGTGTATAAGTGAACCCACACAATCCAAACCAACGTTGTCCAAGGGCCAAGTGTACTTAATGCCATTGAATTGTACATAAAAATTGTTAAGATGGTAAATTTTATGTTGTATTTATTTGACCACAAGTTTTAAAAAGATTACAGTGGAAGACAATGTAATAAAGAACAGAAAAAACAGTACAGGCAATCAACGCAATCAACTATACCAAAAGTTGGTCCTTTGAAAGGTTCAACAAAACTGACAAACATGTAGCTAGACTGACCAAGAAAAAAAAAGAGAGAGAGAGATAAGGCTCAAATTACATGAATCAGAATTAAAGAGAGGGACATTATAACCGACTTCAGAGAAATGAATAGAATTATAGGAGGATATTATGAACAAGCGTATGCCAGTAAATTCAATAACTTAGGTGAAACAGACAAATTCTATAAATATACAAATGACACAAACTGACTCAAGAAGAAACAGAAAATCCAAATAGACCTATAACACAAAAAGAGACTCAATTCATAATTTAAAAAATCTACCCACAAAAAAAAGCCCGAGCTCAGATGGCTTTACAGGTGAATTCTACCAGACATGAAAGAAGAATTAATATTAATTCTTCCCAAGATAGTGCAGAAAATAGAACAAGATGGTACACTCCCTAAATCATGGAACTGATAAATGCTATTATGTGGATGCACCTTGAGAGCAATATGCTAAATGAAAGAGTCCAGTGACCAACGACCACACATTATATGATTCTCTCTGTATGAAATTTCCAGAATAAGCAAACCTATATAGAGAGAAAGTAGATTATTAGCTGCTAAGGGCTGGGGAACCAGGAGATGGTGACAGCTGAAAAGTGTGAGGCTTCTATTTTATGATAAAAATGTTCTCCAGGGGCACCTGGGCGGCTCAGTCGGTTTACATCCAACTCTGGATTTGGCTCAGGTCATGATCTCACCGTTAGTGAGTTCAAGCCCCACATGGGCTCTGCGCTGACAGCATGAAGACTGTTTGAGTTTCTCTCTCTTTCTCTTCCCCTCCCCCACTTGAACTCGCTCTGTCTCTCTCAAAATAAATAAATAAGCTTAAAAAAATGTTCTATAACTGGGGTGCCTGGCTGGCTCATTTGGTAGAACAAATGACTCTTGATCTTGGGGTCCTGAGTTTGAGCCCTACATTAGGGGTACAGATTACTTTTAAAAAATACCACCTTTTAAAAAAAATCTATAATTGATTATGAAGATACTAAAAATCAGTGACTTATATACTTTCAGTGGGTCAATTATATGGTATGTGAATTATATCTCACTAAAGGTGTTACACAAAAAGGAATTCTCATTCCACTTTTAAATATTATATATGCTGAAGTCATAGTACTCCGTGTGACAAAAGCCTTGTCCACCATTCTGCCATTCTAGAAGACCTGTATGGAGCACCTGTGTGTGACATCTTGGGCCAGCATGGGGGTACAGAGATGAATCTAGCCCAGCACCTGCCCCTGTGCTTGTGGTCAGGTGAGGGATGCGGCACATCTCATTATATTCCAGCCTGCCAAAATACCTAGTACCTTGCCAAATACTTTACCTGGGACCTCTCCACTGTGACCCAAGGGAGGAAAAAAAAAATACTGCTAACCAACATTTATTGAGTGCTTACTGTATGCCAGACGTTGTGCTAAGCACTTTCCATGCATTACCTCCTTGAATCTGCACAACAATCCTATGAGTTAGTTAGTGTTCTCATTAGCTTCATTTTCTAGGTGATAAAACTCTCATGAAAAGTGAAGGGAGGTCCTTGGGTCCGCAGGAGTCTCTGATAGAATCAGGTCTGAGATGAGGCTGGAAGAGGGCCTCGATCCGCTCAAGAGAGAAACTGAGGCCCCCACAGGGGATGGGCATCCCAACTGGATTGGTACGAATGCCCAAGGAAGGAAAGAGCACCAAAGTCCCAAGACTGCGGTTCTCACATATATTCTGCCCCCTCCTCGGCACTTCACCTCTTTGATACTTTGTTTGTTCAACTATAAAATGGGTACTCCTGTAAAACGGGTGCTCCTACTAACCTGTAAAATGCAGTACGCCCACTTCTGCGGGCAGAGTTCAGAGCCCTGCGCGAGCCAAGTGAACATGCCGTACAATCCCTATAAAGGAATGAGGAGGAAGACCCGGGGTTTTCACTGTGCTGGAAACTGAGAGGCACTGACACAAGGTCAGGGACACTCTGCTCCCTCATTTAGAAGAGCTCTGGCCCCTTCTGGAGAGAGGGGCAGGCATGTGTGTGGGTGCTAGCGCGTGCACACACACACACTCTTTCCCCCTTCCTCCACCTCTGCCTCAACATCCCTTGCCTTTGGATACTGGCCACCCTTTTTCCACCAACCTGCCGACCCCACCCAAGCCCTCCTTCTCCTGGAAGCTTTCCCAGGCTGCTGGCTCAGCACTGTCACACCTCCTCAGAGCCCCCAAGGACCCCTGTTGCGGTCTGGATGTCACTGGCCTGCCGGGGTTAAAATTCCAGCTCCTCCACTGCCTGGCTCAATGATCCCATGTGAGTGCTTGATGCACACATAGCATCCCGTAACATGAGGCTAATGAGAGGCCTGACGCACTGGGTAGTTGTGAGCACGGGCTGGAGGCAGGAGATGATGAGGTGTGGTGACTGCCTGAGAGTCCTCTCACAGGGGCTCAGCTGGGGAAGTGACAAGGGGCTACTGCCTGGGTGGGCTATGGCCGTATCCTTGAGGACCAACCAAATCCTTGCTGCCCATTTGCCCCTGGACCCATCCAGAGAACCCCTAGGGAGTAGGGGCCTTGCCCTCTGCTGAGAGCCCCTGATGCCAAGGGCCCCCGGCTTGCTGAGCACACTGAGGCAGATGGGGCCCACTGGAGCGTGGGGCTGGAGAGCAGCCATCAACAGGCCAGCTCCTATACTCAAGGTCCGGGTGGGCCTCTCTTGCTCAAGGGTGGGAGGCGGTGGTGGGGGTGGGGGGTTTGAGATCACCGTTATCCACAAATCACTGGGGATTTTACTAAAATGCAGTTATGGGGGGGTGGGCACCTGGGTGGCTCAATCAGTTGAGCATCCGACTTCGGCTCAGAGCCTAGAGGCTGTTTCGGATTCTGTGTCTCCCTCCCTCTCCGCCTCTCTCTCTCTCTCAAAAATAAGTGGCCATTTAAAAAAAATTTTTTTTAATAAAAGAGAAAGATTCTGCATTTCTAACAAGCTCCCCAGAGACACCGATGCGACCGTGGCTGGCCACACTTTGCGAGGCAAGGACCTGATGCGGGGCCCGCTGTTCCGGGGCAGAGGGAGAGCAACCAGCCGGCCTGCGCCTCCCACGGGTCTGAAGGCACCCAGCCCCACGCAGCCCCACCCCAGGCTTCCAACATCTGGAGGGCAAGGCTGAATGGGTTTTCTGAGTTTCCAGGATCCCATTTCCATTACGTATGTAAAATTAAAGTAAAAATACACATTATAAAAACATTAGAAAACAGGAAAAATAATAGGAAAACAAAGTCACTGATCATCTCGTAACGTATGTCAAACAACGTTAACCTCTCTCTCTCCCCAAGATGCCAAAGCCAGGGTCCTCTCAGGAGTGGGATCTGAGCCGCCCCTCACAGCAAAGCGCTGAATGGGAGACGGGGGGCCCGCTCCCCACTCTCTCCGTTGCCTGGCAACCTTCCCACCCCGAGAGAGGTGCCCAGGCCGCGGCGCCCGAGGCCTTCACCCAGACCTACCCTGGGGGGCACAAAGGTGGGGGCAAGGCCCCCTCTGCTCCCCGCTCACAGGCAGGAGGCTGAGGAAGCACGGCCTCAGAGGACGGGAGAGGTGGGGTCTGGGGGAGGGGGTGCGCGCACACATCTGGATTCCTGGCCCAGAGCCCGCATTCCTTCCCTGTGAGTGTGAGGAGATGGGGTCTCTCTCGGGAGAGCCGCGAGGAGGCTGTTGGCCCCGGTCCTGCCCCACTGTAACAGGACCCACCCTGGCAGGAAGACTGGGGACGTGAAGGCCCAGAACCTCATTTGGGGGGCCCCTTACCCAGACGGCTCGCTAGCCGGTCGCAGGCTCAAGCTGGGGCTCTGTCCCCGTCCACGCCAGCCAGCCCTGCCTCAGAAATACCAGAGGGGACAAAAAGGCGGAGACCTGAGGGCCACTGGAAAAGGGGCTCGGGGCTCGGGGTGGGGGCAGGGCGCTGTTCTCCCCACAGAAGCTGGGCCGCCTTACCTGGGGGCAGTCCTTGATGTAGTGTCCTTTGTTGAAGCACAGGTGACACAGGTAGTTGGGTGGGGGCCGCTTGCTGGGCTTGCGGGTCTCGGAGGTGAGCGTCAGGTCAGAGAAGTGCTCCGTGAGGGAGCTGAGGCCATCGGCGATGTTGTTGAGGGAGCCGTAGGGCGAGGCACTCTTGTACACGCTGCTGCCCAGCGCCTGTGGGGGACAGAGGCTGTGAGGATTCCCAAGGCCTGGGCACCCCCGTTCGTGGCCGCGGCCTCGGGCGGAATTGCCGTGGGCACGTGCGCACACATGCACACTCGTGATTCCACACTGACTCTTTGACTGCCCCTGGGCTCTGGCCTCCTGGAGCCTGGGTTCCGTGGGCAAGCCTGTTAACCGCTCTGGGCCTCGGCGGCCCCGTCTGGAAAACAGGAATAATGATAGCTCCCTCTGAGGGTTTCTGTGAGGCTAACTGGAGGCCACCAATGTAAAGCACTGAATCTGCCACCAGGCACTTAGGAACCACCGAGTACTGATGATAATGACGATCAGCATCAGTGCTTCACGCACCGCCAGGACGTAAGGAGGCGTAGCAGAGGGTACCCTGTTAGATTTGGGGCCTTGCCACCTCCTGGCAGCATGACATTAGGCAAGTCACTTAGCTTTGAGCTGACTCAGTTTCCCCTTCTTACAGGAAAGTGGAGCAGCAGAATGCAGCACTGTTTTCAGTGTGCAAAAGAGGAGACTGAGGCTCGGTGCTCTGCCTGGTCTCCTGGGGCACGAGGCCTGGGCAGACCGTGTCCGGGGAGCCCTCAGGCCGGCCCGGCCCGCCCTTTGGGAGCCTGGGAGGAAGTGGCCCACCTCTCCCACCTCCAGCTGACAGGAACCAGATGTCTTGCCTGGCTTCAAAGCAGACATGGCCCAGGCCCTCTCCTGGTGTACACGGCCTCTATTTATAGGAGTCACGGGCTCTAGGCAGCAAGGCACACTGGAATTTAGCAAAGGTAGGGCCTGTGGCGAGGCTGGCACGGAACAGCCGTGGCACCCCTTTCCTGAGGCAAGGCCGGAAAGAGGTGGCTTTCCCAGGAGGGTCACTGGCAAACCTGGGCATGGGGCTCAGGGGCCCCCAGACCCCGGCTCAGGTATCAGGCTCTCCAGGAATGAGCTACAGACCTTGGAGAGCCTTGGATCTAATAGGAAGACAGCCTTGTCCCTAGAAGTCCCCAGGCTGCCAGGAGAGGAGAGGCCAAGAGGATGTTGCCTCAGGCCCCCTTATGAAGATGGGGCAGATGGGGGCCCCGAGTGGGGACAGTCTTTTCCATGTTCCCTCAGGTGTGGGCAGGGAGGGAGGCGAGCTGAGCACAGGCTTTAGGGGACTGGGCACCCCTCTCCCCAACCAGGACAGACATCACTCCTCACGCACGTGTACCTCAGCCTCCCTACTCAGTCCGTCTCTGGGGTCTGGCACCGCCCGCTCATAGAGGACCCAGGCCTCACCATCTGGGGGCCACCACTCTTCTTGGCTCCCTGGACACCCTGCTATGTGGACTGGGGCCAGTCAGCCTGCGGTGCCCAGGCACGGAACGCCAAGGTCCTGATCACCCCCTCTGCTCCGCCCCTGCCCAGTGCTACCACGAAACCCAGGACCAGTGGAAGATACTACGCAAACTTAGGTTCGGCGTGAGGGTGAGTCTCCGGTTCTCGGATGAGCCAAGACAGAGTGGTTCATCCTGACAGGCAGAGGGCCCCCATCCCCGGAGGTATGCGAGCCAATTTGGAACAATCTTAAGGGGTGTTGTCCCAATGGCAAGGGGGCTCGATGGTACCAGTCACATCTACTGAGGCCTTACAATGTCCCAGGTACTGAAAGCTTGACACATATTAAGATAGCTAATGCTCACTGCCATCCTATGAGTCCCTGTTCCCATCTTACAGATTGGATGAGTATGTCCAAACTTGCGTTGAATGACTTGAGAAACTTGTAACAAATACGGTGTACGGGGCCCCGCCTCGGACCTACCAAAGCAGTCACCTGGGACAGGGGGACTGGAATCTACACCATTTTATTGTGGTAAGATGTGCATTACAGAAAGCTGACCATTTTAATTATTATTTTTTTCCTTTTTTTAAATGATTATTTACTTTTGAGAGAGAGAGAGAGAGACAAACAGAGTGTGAGCAAGGGAGGGGCAGAGAGAGAGGGAGACACAGAATCCGAAGCAGGCTCCAGGCTCTAAGCTGTCAGCACAGAGCCCGACGCGGGGCTCGAACCCACGATCCGTGAGATCATGCCCTGAGCTGAAGTCAGACGCCCGACTGAGTGCCATCCACGTGCCACCACTATAGTTATTTCTTAGGTGTCCAGTCCAGTGGCACCAAATCCATTCCCATTATTGGGCAACATCACCACCATCCACTCCAGTACTTTTTCACTGTCACAAATGGAAACCCTCTCCCCAGTAAACACTACCGCCCCACTCCGCCCCCCCCACCAGCCCAAATCTGCTTTTTAAAAGCTCCCCCAGGCAGTTCGGTACAGACAGCCCACCCCGACCTGGCCTCGGGAGCACCTGGACTTCCCAACCACCGAGGGCCCTCCTTAACTTGACTCGAGGCCTCTCCCCACCCGCGCTGGCCTGAGGGAGCACAGCACCACCACAGCCGCCCAGAGAAAAGTTCATCCAAACAAGAAACTGCAAGCTCCAAATGGTGTGACTCACCCTCATGGCTGGGAAATGCAATTTCACAAATAACAACTCTCTTCATTTTTTCCCCCCTGTTCTTTCTTTTCTTTCTTTCTCCCCTCTCCCCGCCACCACCACCCCTCCCCACCCCCACCTCCCGATAAGATTAAAGCTAGTCCACAGGAATCAGGACTGTTTTGGCAGCAGACTGTCCAGAGGAAGGGGAAGTTTGGTGGGTGCCAGAAAGTGCATTAATTACACCCCGAACAGCCTCTCCCCGCTTTGTGGCCACACCGCCCTGCCCACGGGTGACCCAGGGGGCGTCCCTGGGCGGCCAGGGGCCTCTGAGCAGCCTGTCCTGTCCCTGACAGCTCGACGCCCCCACCCACCACCTCAGGAGCTCACAGCTTGAGTCGCACCGGCAGCTCCGGGTCAGAGAAGCGAGGTCAGAGCTCCGCACAGCCCCTCTCACCCCTCGGGCGCCCTGGCCTGTCCCTCAGGGCGGCTCCAGCTCCCTTCCCCCAGCCCCCGTTCCAGATGACACCACCTCAGAGCTGAGAGGACAGAGCAGGCAGCTGCCCCGACCACTCTCGCGGTCCAGATGGAGAAACTGAGGCCCAGAGAGGCCCAGGGGCACAGGGAGGGCCCGCGGCCAGGCAGCTGGCTGAGAGGCGGGTGGGGCGGCAGGCTGTTTCCTCTCCAAAGCCCCAAGGCGCTGGGGCTTGGAGGTGAAAGGCGAGTTGCCTCTTCCACAGCCGATGGCTGGAGACTGGATGGAGCAGAGGCTGGGGGACACGCAGCAGTCCCCCCGCTCCGGCTGCCGAGTGAGGCCTGGCCTCCTGGGCCTCCCGTCCGTCAAATGCAACACGGGAAGGAGGGCAAAACCGGTGACCCCTGCAGTCCTGCCTTCTTAAGGTCCAGACCCCAGCTACTTACTGAAAGACACCCCCAGAGCCCGGCACACAGAGGCCACTCCGTCACCATGGGCGCCGCCTGTTCCACGTCCTGCTGCCTGTAGCTGGAGGGCAAGGCCTGAATCCCAAACAGCCCCGGCGTCCCCGGGAGCACCCGCTTTCCCCCTCTGGCTCTGCACTTGCTCCCTGCCCCCCCCACCAGGATGCCCTCTCTGGGTCCATCCAAACCTCCTCCAGGACCTGGCTCCCGATCTGGTTATAACCTGAACAGTGTGGCCTTGAACCCACCCCCTCCTCTTATTCAGACCTTGGGCTTCAAGGGACAGTGTGAGAAGCACAGACTTGGGTGATCCTGAGAGAGACCCTGCCTCCTCCGAGGGCCTCCCGGACCTCCCAGTGATCGCCCTGTCCGCCAGGACTAGGCCAGGTAGGGATCACTCAGCTGCCCTTGGCTGAAGGAGCTCTGAGATCTCTCTCTAATCTCTTCAGGCAGTAGCCTCTTCGCTTCCCCGCAAGGCTGGGCGTATCCAAAGGCAAAGGTTCTGCAGCATCCCATCAGCCCAGACCCCAGACTGTTTCTGACACTGCTCACATCTGCAACCATCCTGGGTGCAGATAATTGCAGGTACAGAAGGGCCAGAGAGCCCCACTTGACAGATGAGATAATGAACTAACACCTTAGAGATATAGGTTGGGGTCTCCTAGTTGCCATGGACTAAGCGAGAGGCACTCTCACCCCAGATTAAGCTGCTCAGGGCGCTGGTTGAGGGCAGCCCCCCTACTGTGCTGAGTGGAAACCTCTGGGCCCAGATCCCCATCCTGGAGGAAGAGGCTGCCTTTCCCTCCTCCCTCTTCCCAGCAGCTAGCAGGTAGTGTGGGGTATTCCCACCATATCTGGGGGATAGAGCATCTGGCTCCTGCCCATTGCTGGAACTTCTCCAAGGCTCTGGCATGGCTGTTGGGGAAAGATAGAGGGGAAGACACTAAAAATCTATTCTGATCCTGCTTGTTTCATACACTCGACTAGATCCTTTCCCTTTCTTAGTTTTCTTCTACTTATAAGAACACCCTTTGGATGGGCATTACTGGCTCCATTTTACAGAGCTGGAAACTGAGGCTCAGAGAGGCTGAGTAACTTGCTCAAGGTGAAACAGCCACCATGTGGCTAAGGGGAGATTCACACCCACATCAGTTGGCCTGTTCTATTTCAGCTCCCACATGGCCTCCAAGGCTTAACGCCTCCTATAGTAAGGAAAGCGAGCCAGAGGAAAACAACAGGTGTGGACCACCCTCCTTGGACCTGTGACATCGTATTGCCAAGCTTCTCCGCCCTGGTGAGATGCGGCACCGGCTTCTCTGGGCTACGTGAGGGGGCTGAGGGTTCTGCGGAGGGATCTGGGGTGTGGAGGCAGAGATTTCCAGGGCTGTCTCCCCACTCCCAACCCCCCAGGACAGTAAGAGAGCATAGCAGGACGGGGGCAGACGGGAGTTAGGACAGGTGCATAGAAGTTTCCAAAGGCAGCCTAGAGGGAGAGGAAACCAGTGCAGAGAAGAGAGGAGAAACAGCTAGCAGAGAGGAACTATGCCCACAGAAAACAACACGATGGGCAAAGCG